CCCGAGATTGGGTACATTTACACAATATGTTTACTGCACAGTAGACTAATTAGCTGTACAATAAACGTCTCATGTCTATACGTGTGCCCGTATTAGGCTGGAGTAAACTAATTTACTCCACAGCAGGATAGTACTTGTTAAAACAAGTACTATTCTGCTGTGGAATAAAAGACTCCACAGCAGCACATGTGTAGATGGTGCCCCAGCTAATTCTGTGTTGAAGTACCCTTGTGCCCCAGCCAGCCCCTCTGCCTCACATTGACCCGGGGGAGAGGGGGGAGAGCAGGCCCAGACTGGCAGCTGACCCTCTGGTTCCTCTGCCAACTGGGGCTGCTCTGCCCTGGCTCAACATACTGTGGTCCGAGGTGCATGTGAAGTCGCACACCCAGGAACAATAAACTAAACTAACCATTTAGGGCTATAATTGTGCTATTAAGGCACTGTTGTATTAAAGGAGGAGGGAAAGTGAGCATCCCCAGCTGGAGTGGCCTGAGATGATGTGAGCTGGGTACAAGAATTTACAGAATCCAGGGGGCAGAGGGGTCATGCTTGGAAAGGAGGAACTAGCTCTTCTGAAGATTGAATGCTGCTAGCTAGTGTAGGAGTGGGGCTGCCCTGTACTTGAGATGAAATGTAATCAGACAGGATAGTATAGAAATTTAAAATCTGGATGCAGTAAAAAACCCTTCCTGAAGGGTTTTTTAATGTTCCTGTGGTGTTCCATAGCAAGAATAGAATTATTTGTAATGGTCTATAGAATTAATTAAAAACCAATAGAAAGTAAATGTTTTCTATTAACTACTAAAGGACTTTTCCTTATGAGATCAGGAGAGGCCCACCTTGGAGAATTCATGCACATACTTGACCATTTCCAGTTCCAGCACACAATAACAGGAGAGGGGAAAGTTCTCTGCATCTCTAGCCCTCTCTTCCTTTAGAACTGCCACTGGACCAAGACACAGCACAAGAAACTGGAGTTGTTTTCCCTCTTGCCAGTAATCATTTGAAAAAAATAGCAGTTTGTCTTTTTGTTCCCCTTGGGGCCTAATTTTAAATTGCTTAATTAAGCAGAGTTCAGTGGGTGTTTTATTTGAGTATGGATTTCAGGACTCAGACCAGAGATTGCATCTCAAAGCTATTACTTTCCATTTATTTATTGCTACTGTGGTATCTGGTAAATATGCATGGGCACACAACCTGAAAGGCCGACTCTGTCAAGTCATATAGTACAGATGGTGCTATGCAAATTTCCCAGCCCTCCTTTGCAGTGAGTTATCAATCCCTATTTACAGCAATCAGTGCTAGTATTTAAAATCACTGGTAGTGTCCCCTGAGCTTAGGCTTCCAGTTGTGCCAAACCGAGTGTTGGGTTTATAAGAAGGCCGGATGTCTAACTTGCTCCTATGAGTTTTATATGCTGTACCTGAAGATCAAATAATATTGAGCTTGGCTGTGCTGAAAAGGAATACAAAAGTATGATACTTTGTCCAAACACAGGAATGATAGAAGGTCTTGAATGAGCCTACCAAAAAAGTTTATTATCCATTTTAGATTGAGGAGGTTCCAGGAGAGTTCACACAGGATGATCTGGCTGAAGATGATGTCATGTTGTTAGATGTTTGGGATCAGGTAAATTATATATTATATATATATATATTATAATTTATTATTGCTTTATTCAGTGACTAGAAGTATTTACTCCTAACAGTAACTTACAGCTGGCAAACCAGAAACAAGAAAGGAAGGGAAGGCATAAGAATACTTTATCAACAATTGAAAAAGAAGATAACTATTTGCAAAAGGAAAAAAAAACAATGGTTTTGGAGAAACAATAGAATTGCCTTAAGGATGGAAGAGATTTTACCCTTTTGAAGTTATAACCAAGGAAGGAGCTAGAGCAAAAGTTTCTCAAATGTGCTTTGAAAAACTAGTACAAATGCCTGCAGCATTTCTGAAGTATCCTGCAAGGTCATAGTGAGCATTTCTCATTAATGCCAGTGGGACCTGCCTGGCTACCAGCCCCAGCAGTGCTTTGAAAGTGTCCCTCATAACGTTCTTTACATTATTACTCAAGTTTGTTTAACCTTTTTTTTTCAATTCCATTTGTGCAAACCTTGTCAAAAGAGGCAGATTGTACAAGAAGGATGTGACGACACGTGGTATGAAAGTCCGTTAATAGTAAATGAGCCAAATTGGAGACAGTGAGAAGAGAACCTCACTTTTTACCTCATACTTGTAGAAGAACAATCCAGATGTTGAGCTGCTTTTGTTATAGTCAAAGGGTGGTATCAAAACCTGCTCTAGCCTGCCAGACAAGATGTGGGCTTTCGGCTCCATTATGCTCCCAAACCCAAAGTTCCAGGCCTCATTGCTTTGACAAGAGTCATCCTCAGATACTACCTCACAAAATATAAGAAGTGAGGAATGCTCTTGAAGATGTAGTTGTACATTTTAAGGATCTGGACTGGTGTCAACTTTTCACCCAATAACCACAAATGCTAAGGTCTGAATCCGTGTGCTGGCCTGAGTTGCCATTATGCAGCTAACTTTAGCCCTGTAAGGCCCTTTACTTGCCTAAAGGAGAGTTAGATTTCAGCCTAAAATCTAAATCCATATTTTTGATGTTGTTTCTTTTACACACTGAAAAATTCACTTTATAAGTAACACAGGCAGAATGCACTGCCAGAGCTTGTGATCCAGACTTGTGATCATTTAGTGTGGGATGTAATGTTCACCTTGATTCCCCATTCTTTATACCTATGCAAAGTAATTGTGAAATGCCTACTATTTTTGTAAGCAGAGAATTCTGTTTGACAGGTTAGGTCTACACTACAAAGTTTTTTGGCCAAGATTATATCTCCTAATCAATGCAACCATGCTGGCTTGTATGCATGCAACTCCTTGTATGCATTCAGCTGTGACAACAGAACCATATTCTGACAGATTAAAATGCATTTTTCAGGGGGGTGGGGTAACTACCTTGTCAGATAAAAGGCTTATACCTCCTTGCACTGCATCTCCAATTGGGCACCTTTCCAACATAGGTATTATGGTTTCAGCTTCATAGAATAAACAAGCTGTTTGTGTTTTTATCCACTTTGTACAGAGGATAGCAACAATATAATATGCAGGCCAGATAAGAATCAGGCACTGTATTTTAGCTAAATTTCAAAACTTATAAGTGCCAGTCACAAACAAGAGTGAGGCTATCAGTATTTCATTAATTGTAAGATTTAGCACCATACTTGACAGTACCTAGGATGTAATGGGATTTTGAGGTATAGAACTGCTTCTGTTGAAAAGGTATATCATTAAATATAATGAGCCAAATCTCATTTATACCACTGAAACTCTGGAGTTACCCCAAGCTTGCCTGCTTTTTTCTCCTAGAGGAGTCAATTAAATTATTCCAGATTTTATACCAATGTAAAAAAAAAATCTATATCTATATCAGATTCTGGGCTGAAGCCCATAAACATTATGGCAACTAAACTTTCATATTCCATTTACAGGTGTTTATCTGGATTGGTAAAGATGCCAATGAAACTGAGCGAAATGAATCTCTCAAATCTGGTAAGAACATTCATGTGATAAAACCCTGTTTGAAATAAATGCAGCGGTGTTTAAATAAATCAGTGAAAGAAAAATGTGAAATAAGTTTAGTCATGTTTTATTTTTCCAAAGGGTCACCAGGTTTGGTAGGCAGTCATTCCTAAAGACATAATGATTAGTATTTTCCCTCTTGATCTGCTGTTTAAAACAACGCAATACTCACCAAAACCTCAATTGCATGTTGAATGAGAATCAACAACATAGTGTTCCAAGGCTGAGATAACCTCTGGCTGTATATAATTTGTAATAATAGCAGCTCCAGGTACACAACCTGCATTGCAGTCAGTGGAATTTTTTTTTAATGTGGATGGCTAAAATTGGACTTTAGAGGATATGTCTATACAAGACACTTAATGCACAGTAAACTAATTCTACTGCACATTAGTGTGCACAACAAAACCTGTGCTAATATGCTAATGTACAGTAGTATTAGTCTACTGTGTATTAAGTGTCACCCAAAAAGAGTGCAGTCACACTTGCACAGTATGGCAGCCTATTGAACATTTATTTAGTACTTGATTATACAAATACTAAATTGAATGTACAGTAGATACTGTGAATTAATGAACATGTAGACACACCTGAACTCTCTCAAAAGTAAGCTCTCATCAACTGCTCTCAGGTCACTCCCATTGTCGCCTATCTCTAATTTTAATGTAATGGGCAAAAGTCTGCTCTTAATTTAAAGATATACAAATCTGTCCACTAACCCAAACTACTTAGACAGTAGCTTTAAGAGCATTGAATCTGAACATACATTTCAAAGAAATACACTTCTTCTGTAAGAACTTGTGCTAGCTCCCCTGTGACTTAATACATTTCAGCCCATGGTTTACATTTCTCTTGCATACCCATCCTTCTTTAGCCAAGGTTATCCAGCATGGTTTCAGACCTTCCTTAATATCACACAGTAATGCTGAATCAAACTGTAATGAGTAGATGCATAAGGTCCTTCCCAGGAAAAATCACAAGTGGAGCTTCTGTATGCCAACAACTACATGTGAGTTCCAGTGCCAAAGGAACTCTTGTATAGTAGAAGCCCATGCTCAAAGTAAAGATCCTTATTTTGCTTGTGCTTTTTTTAATTGACCTAATATCTGAGCTGAAAATTCTGAAAATTACACTGGCCACTGAGTGCAATCAATAGTTATGTGACTGACTTCATTATAATTAAGTGGATTAACTGTAATGGTCATGGATTATTTTACCTCAAATCCTGCAGAAAACATGAACCTATATTTTACAGGTTTTTATTATTATTATTATTTTTTTTTTTTTTTTTTTTTTTTTTTTTTTTTTTTTTTTTTTTTTTTTTTTTTTTTTTTTTTTTTTAGCCAAACGCTATATTGAGACAGATCCTTCTGGAAGGGACAAGGGAACTCCAATCATTACTGTGAAGCAAGGACTTGAACCCTCAACCTTCACTGGCTGGTTCCTGGCCTGGGATTCCAACAAGTGGAAAAACTGATTTGTCAGAGAAGGTTTCTGCTACCAACTCATCAGTCGTTGGAATAGGCCTATGCTCTGGCATTTTTAAGCATGAGCTTGCAAAATGGTCTTGATGCAGCTATTATCACCCATCACCCATTCCCCAGCTTTGAGTAAGGTAGCATATCTTAGCTTTGAAAGGCTTAAATGAAAATGGCAAAATAATAAGATGGTGGTGGGTTATTTTTATGCAGTAAATACACGACACATTATCATTGGTTTGGTTTGGTTTCAGAGTGCCTTTTCAAACAGAAGCTGTAGATCAGTTTCATCAGAATACAAAATGCAAAAAATAAAATAACATCCCTGGGCCAAACTCTGCTCTCAGTACCTGTAGAAATTCAGAGTAAGTCCAAAGAAAGTACTTCTGATCTACAGTGATGAAACAGAGTAGAATTTGGTCTGATGAAGGCCTAACATTGCATTTATTCAGACCCATGGGAAAAACCCCAAAAGCAAAACTCATCCTTAATTTTTCTAACGAGCCAAAAATTTCTAGTCCTTTCTTGTGCAAACCTCCAGCTGAAGGCAGAATCACAAGTGGGAGCTCTGTTGGACTCATACTGGGTTCAAGCTTCAGGTTTGTCTAACTGCTGCTCTTACATGCATTCCAGCGAGCCATCACTTCTGAATGGCATCAGGAGTGACAGCTTAAACCAGTTTTAGACTGGCATGGCAAATTAGCCCTCAAACCTCCCCCAGTGCCATTCTGATTCCCTTCCCCTGCTTGATTTCCTACTCTGCTTTGTTTCTTGCCCTATTTGCTGCTGTACCGCTCGTCTCCTCCCTCATCTGCCAAGTGCCACTTGTGGCACTCATGCTTCAGGATGGCCACCTCTTGCTTAAACAGTGACTGGGTGCACATCATCTGGATTCATTAAGTGGCAATTCAGCACGTACTGCATGTCCCAGTACAGGTCATCTCAGCCCCTATCATGCTCACTCCCCTTGACTCATTTGCATTCAGTTTGTTTCAGAGATTCGTTCAAACTGCCAAACACAGCAAACATTTCTCATTATATAGAAGACATCAGATGCACTATACAAGGGCTTTGGCAAACCACTTTTCTCTCATTAGCACTCCTTATTCTGGGAACATGTTGCTATATGAGTAAGTTCTGTTGAATTTGGCCAGAAATTAAGAAGGGACCCTAAGTTATTTTGTTGCAAAGAATGCAGTCTGTTTTATTCTTAGGAATCAAGAGAGAGATTTTCAAAGGGATGTGTTTGTGTTTTTCGTTTAGCTTCACAAGGCCTCCACCCCACCCTCCAAGTCCCCTGTCAAAGCCCGCTGGGATTATTCTGTTTCAAACTTAGAGTAATCTCTTGACTATTTACTTCATAATGCTTATTTTACAGTTCGTATAAGTGCAACTCAAATTGCCTATGTACCAAAGTGGATTCTTAATAATGAATGTTAATTGTATTTTTATGTATTTTTAAATTAGTTAGAAAATTCAAGTTTTAAACTTGTGTTTGTACCTTTTCCTACGTAACTATTTAGATTTTAAAGCTCAGTAAAGCAAAGAAGTGAAAACAGCCTCAGCTCATAGTCAAAATTATTGAACAAATTGCATTATCTGGGCAACTGGAAGTACAAGAACAAGGGGATGCAGCAAAATATTAAAACCAGCTCTAAATCCAGCTTAAAGAGCAGAGAGGGCAGTGAGTTAATTCTGGGAGTTTATTAGCTTGAGGCATTTGTTTATATCTCTGTTACAGCAATTTAACTATATCTGGAAGTTTTGTGTAAAATAAAGTTACAGAACACAGTATTATAACAGTATGTGTAATGCTGCTTTCCTCTCTAATTGTTTTTGTTTCATCAGTGATCCCACTAACATTTAGCAGAGCATGGCCAGGCAAGAATAGGAAATCCTAATCTTCTTTTAGGGGTACACTTTAATACAGGTAATTTAATTCTCTGCTTGTGCACCAGTTTATCCCAGCAGAGATCTGGCCCACTTTCAGATCATACAGGTACAACATTGTACAGATGTTTCAACTGGTGTGTGAGGTGAGCAGCTAAGCTGTGAAAACCAATTGATGTATTTCTTTAAGGATGGTTAATAGTGCTCTGAACGGATATTCAGCTAGGTACCAGTGTGTTGCTTGCAGCTTCACCCAAGCACAACATGTATAATAGACAAACGGAAGAGAGTAGGTTTGAAAAAAACAATGTCTCTGGCATGTTTCTATGAAACTAGAAAAAGTGAGGTCTTTCCTAGCTTTCTGCAAGAAAAGCTTAAACAAAAACTATAACCCTTTTTAAAATCAGTTGATCAGTTAGAGGGCTTTACACAAACCACACAAGTCAGTAGGTACATGTACCCCTGCCTCCCTATGCTGTTTGATGTATCAGAGGATTTCATTATAAAACATAATAGCATCATAACTGCATTTTAACAGTTGGTCTCATACACACAGAGAGGGTTAAACTCTTCTTTTAAGCATGTTCCATAATGGGATTATACCTCTGATCTTTCCAGGGCTTTGTCAGTATATTTCAAAACATAGTTAAAACAGTTTTGGTTCATCTATGCAGGCAGGATAAATTGTAACCTTGGCTGAGAATGACATGTTCTCTTGACATAGTACTCCTGTGTAGATTGCATAAAGGCCATGTCAAAACGGCACCATAAACTAATTTAAGTATAGAGATTGCTGGGCAGGCTTCCTGTGGTTTTCCTGGCTGATCTTGTTTTGATTTTTAATTAAGATTTGTGCTGTAAATTCCTTAAGGAAGAAAAATGTCTTTGCCCACATTATGGAGAATAACTTCACTGATTTCTGTTTAGGTACCTAACACTAGGTTTCTAGATTATTTGTTTCTGTTCATGTTTGAAGTATATGAGGTGCTGCACATATGGAGGAGTTTGTTTTCTTAAAGATACTGGGCACTATGTGAGGCAGATTATGAGAGAGGAGGGATAACAATCTCCTCAACTATGGAAAATCTTATTATCAAAGTATGTATCAGCAGTGAGAGCTGTAAATACTCAGTATTGCTCAGTTAAGGATACTGTTCACTTAAGGTTTAAGTGTATAGCTTTAAAATAGCAAACAGCAAACTCGCCTCCTTTATAGAAAGAAAAAGGAAAAATGTGTGTAAATATTTAGAACTGCACCCAAGATTGAGCCACTTGTGTTATTATGAAATAATAGATGGCACTAGTTGTCTAATTATAATGGTGAAACATATCCCAGGGGCAGGGGTGGCAAAACACAGTCCATATGATGATCTTTAGTCCGCCCCAGTTACAGAATAGTCTGTCATACACATGCTTCTGGGCTGCCTCAGAGTTGCATGTAACTTCCTGTGACTATCACTAGAAAGTGAAAAACTGTACTCTCTCTAAGCTCTAATTTCATTGCAGGGACACTAGAAAACAAGAGACTCATAATGCTGCAGGATGAGTAGACATCTATTCTGACTTTGGTTCCCTTGCACTTTCTTTTCCAGCCTCTCTCCTTAGCCTGCCTGACTTAAGGTTTAGGAAGCAAACACACACACACAAAATTTCCCCTCCCTATTGCTCTTCTGTTGTACAAGCTTTAAATAATACTTCAGCTGGGAATTGTCCAATTTATTTTTATTACTCCTTCTAAATCATAACAAGCAGAGTCTTTGTACAGAAGATAAGCAGCTGGGTAAATCACCCCATGCAAGGCCACTTGTCAATTAAATAAATCAATACTATCAACAAAAAGATACTATAGGGACAATATTTGCCTCCTTCCCCTGAAAAACCTGCCCAGAAAGCAAAGTAATTTGGAATCCCTGACATATAAAATGAAAACAGCAAGAGGCAGGTCCTTCTCCAAGGAACTATTAACTGTTAAACAATTTCTGGCTAATTTTTTATTATTCCTTTGATAGAATTGCAGACACAGCAATTATTCAAAAGATAGGCAGAAGCCTCCTAAAGTTACTTGCACTCCTATGGTATCTCTATGCATCCCTGATGTCAGCAGGTTCTATGAGGATATATGTAATGTTTCTTTAGAAGTCTAGCAGGAAGCCAAGAGGAATCAAGCTGGGAAGAGCTGTGTTCTAATCACCAATTTCTATAGAGAAGCTCTGCTTCCTACAGACACTTCATAACAACTCATGAAATAAGCTGCTGCTTCCTTTCTGATTTAGTTAGGCTATAAGATGCAAATCTACCCTGCCTTCTGCCTGTGTTCAGACTAACATAGATAACTACCTCTCTCTGGAGAGGGAGAGAGAAAGCCTGTCGCTATCTTCAGTGGTACAATTGTTTTCTAACAAAGCTCCTTATTCAGTGTTAGAAAAACACAGTTCTTTACACTGATTTCATATGAATTGCACCTGTGTATGTCAAGACTGAGTTTGGTCACCTGACCCCTAAGGAAATTGAACTAAAAGCCTCTTTAGAACATTAACCTGAAAGGTCTCTGCTATTTAAGACCCCTTCTACACTGGGATTAGAGCTCAATGAGCAACAGCTGTGTTTAAACAGGCTAATTGGTTATAGGTATCAACCTTTGGGTGGAGAGGTTTAGAGTGGTCAGGGGAGGGGAGGTGGTCTCCCTCCCTCTCTCCCTTAGCTGCTGTGCTAAGGGAGGGAAGAGGGATGGAAGGGAAGAGATGATTGCAAGAGCACCAAGAAGTGTTAGTGAATATCTGAACATCGGGGATTACAGGTGAGGGAGCTCAATACTGAACTCATTTAGGCCCCAGTCTGCCAATGATATGTGAGTTACCCTCCCATATGCCTACCGCACCTAGTTATGTTTGATGGACCCATCAAACTCAGAATACTTGTCCAGGATCTCATTCTCAGCACCTAACCCAGATGCTTTGGATAACACCCCACATCAGAAACTACTCGAGCACATCATCAATCCCTAGCATCTTGGTACCATCTTACATGCATTGACCAAAGCAGTTCATTGCCACCGTGTGTGTGTGTGTGTGTGTGCGCGCGTGTGTGTGTGTGTGCATGCACACATGCATCATACATCATTTGTTAAGCCACAGCCCATTTTGAAAAGAACCATCTTGCTCAGGAAGATGAGAAATGGCAGAGAAGGAAGGTAAGTGCACAATGGCTCGGCCAACAGCTGTGCCCTCCCCGCAAGGCACCACTTGCCATATCTGTGGAAAAAACTTGCAGAGCATAGATTGGACTCCTTGGCCACCTTATAACTCACCAGAAACCACCCTCCCCACCCCCCAGCAGACGCGTGTACACATATATATACCCCTTCTGCCAAATTTTGTGCAGATCCCTCATGGCTTGGGGAAGATTATGTTGCCCATAAGCTGAAGTACATGATTATATGGAATTGTTTCTGTTTCATTATATATAGCTACATTGGAAGCGCTATTGTTCACAAGAGTCCAGGGGACATGTTTAAGGTTGGTGTGAGGAAGGATGATTTCATAGGCAACGTGTGGGGAGAGTACTCTGGATATACGAGTTCCTTCCCCAGCTCTGTCATGAACTTGTGTAATCTTTAAGTTAATCACTAAATCTCTGTGCCTCTGCACCATAAATTGATGGTAAGAATTTGTAAGATGATAAAAATTCATCTGGTCTATTCAGGTGTGAGTTCTTCTAGGGGATTTTCACTTCTTTTGTATAATGCCTGATGCAATAGGGCTGCCTCTGTGTGATCTTCCAGGCACAACTGTCTTAAAAATACTAATCATAATTCCAGACAGCAGCCAGGGTTAAAAGCATGGTGTATGGTTTTGCTCCAAGCAGGATTAGACAGCTTGGCTTTTATAATATGGGCAGCCACCTTGACTTCTTCTTATACATGTCTAACATTAGGGCAGCTCCGCTAGTGGTAGTGATAGTGATAAACACGTAACACCAGCTCTGCTGTGTAGACAAGAGCACAGCTGTATGATACGACACAGGCCAACTGGAAAAAAATCCCTGTCAATATTACTCAGGGTAAGTTTGTCTGAGACTCCCATTAGTAAGGACTATCTGTATATTTATACAAGTTTGTTCTCCTTTTCAGCAAGAGGCTGTACTGGTGATGGCAATCACTAGGTCAGACAAGGCTCAGCTGTATTTGAGGCCCCTCTCAGCATAAGTCAAATATGACCAACATTCTCCTTTCTGCCAATCCTTCTCAGTACCAACTCCTCAAAACCTTTTCACATGGCAGGTAAATCCCCACCACCAGCCTGCAGTAATATTGCTGTTGCTGGTACTGACAGAGACTGAGCTTCTATCTTTCTGCCACAACTATTACAGTGGTTATCAAACATATGTTAATGTGGTTTCAGTACATTAATCTAATGCTGCATGGGGTCCTATATACTGCAAAGTGCATGAACTGAAGCAACAATGATCTCATGCTGGTTGTTGATGGCAGCACCACTATAAAGGATGGATTCCCTGTGCATGCTGCTGTTCTTTGCAGTGGTCCTTCTCTCTTGAATAGTGTTCTGGTAGGAGTCTTTGTTTCAAATGAAAAGCAAAGAACATAATTTTGTAATGATAAAGGACTGAAGTGAGGGAATCCCTTGTCACAGAAAACACTCACCTGAATGAATCAAAAGAGATTTAAAAAACTCAGATGTTGTTCACTTTCTGTGCTAGCCCTGGATCAATTAGCAACCAGGGTTCAAAGGGCAGTTAGCATTTCTCTAGGTTAGTGCTAGGATGAAAGTTCTTTGATTTTAGCATCTGTGAATAAAAAGGGCTAAATTCTTAAATAAAGCCCACTGGATAACATCTGCACATATTTCTAACAGATAAGTCTAGGCCCTCAGTAGCAAGACCTGACATACAGCATGAC